GGCTGGTAACTCCTGCCCTGGACTCCAGCAGGAGATGAGTCTAGCCCACAGCTTTGTCCTGGGCTGTCCCATCACCCCCTCCAGTGTGCAGTACAGGCTCACTGGTACAGCTGGGTTGTCTAACTGGCTGCTCTTTCTCTCCTGCCAGGTGATGCATAGATGAAGTCGTCTGGACAATTTTTTCTTCTTTTTTTTTTTTGGTTATATAGCACCATGAAATACTCTAGTGTGTCCTTGCAATTCAGTTGCTTCACTTTCTAAAGAAACTTAAGCTGTAGAATCTAAAATATACTTTTTTTTTTTAAAAAAAAAAGTTGTGGGAGGGTTTTTCTACCTGTAAATTGTAAATCCCTTGTTTCTGGTAGTGTAGGTCACTGGCTGTCTTTGTCCTGGGTTTCTCCATGTTGGTGCAGAGGAGGGCAACTCCTCTCCCCCTCCCCCTGGGAAGTGTGGGATGTGCCGGGTAGGGCTGTTCTGCAGTGCCCTCCTTGCCCCTCCTCGGGGTTTGGGGGCGCTGGGGGCACTGCGGGTGGGTCGTGAGCAGCTCCTCGGGGGGCTGGCGCGGGCACCGCTCCCGGCAGGTCTCTGCTCCTCCCTCTCCTGTGGCTCTGCAGGTGACCGGACAGGGGGGCTGGGAGGGTAGTTCTGTGTCTTTCCCAGGGCATCGCCCGAGCAAGGCTGCACCCTTCCCTAGTGTGGAAGTGACACGTGCCCTGTAGGCCACATGGACAGGGCCACCAGGCGCATCGTGGGCTCGTTCCCATGCCGCCTGGACCCACGCGGTGCCAGGCAGGTTCCCCCTCTGCTGCTCTGGAGCCATTCTCAGTTAACCAGGAGGCAGCGCTGGAGCTGGACACTGGATATTGCCGTTAACTTATTTCAGGGCTTGTAGTGGTTCTTCTCAAGCTGTTGCTGGGGGGGTAGGGGCAGCTCACGGTGTGTTTCCTTGACCGTGAGCTGGTGGGCTGTTTGTGTGACAGGAGCCTGAGAGCAGATGAGTGCTCAGTGGAGTCTTAACACCTTTATTGCTGGGTAGCATCAAACTGTTCATCTGTTAACATGCTTTACAAATAAAGATAATTCCTCTCTCGTTTTTTTTTTCTACCTATGTTTGGACTCTGGTCTCTTCCCTGCTGGCGGGACCCCCGCCTTGCCTGACCAAGGCACATGGTGCTGACTGTCTTGCAGTCTGGTGCCAGGTCTGTGCTTTAATCAGGAACCTGCGTTTGTGTCTCTGGAGGTGTTGGAGCCCTTGGCAAGGGAGTCAAATGGTGCTTCCCACTCAGCGGAGCCTGGGGAGCCTGGTCACAGTGGCACAGGCGTCCCCTTGCCCTGCCACACAGCTCCTCTGTGTCTTGTGCCTCTGGGGTCAAGGATCAGCCCCAGCCTGCAGGAGTCTGTGGGATGTGCTGACTGTGTCTCGTGCTTCTCCAAGCAGTTATTTTCCTCCCTGCTCCTTCATTTTGGGGAGGGTGAAGGTGTGAGACCGTTGTACCTGAGGAGAGGGTTGTGGACACTGCAGGGTCCCTCTCCTGCTGTCAGCCCTGAGATTGGTGGGCTTCTGGCGGTGCTCCTGCCCTGGGAGCGAGGCAGTGGTGGCCATGGGCTGGAGAAGGGCCACTCTGACCTCCTAGCCAACCCAACCTGAGCTTGCCCTTGTCCCAGCCAGTGATGGAGCCGTGGCCAGGCCGTGGCCTCGCCCTCTAGCCAAACACTTCGAGGGAGGGTAATTAGTGAGGGTGGCTCTGATGGCCGGGCTGTGCCCGGAGCGCTGCCGCCTGCGGCGCGCTGGCAGGTCTGGAGAGGCGCTGGCTG